AGTCAATGTATGACAGCTTCTGAAACCACAACTTTTTAAGCTACTTGTACTTTCCTTGAATATTTCCACTTTATGGTACTTTATACTTTCACTCCTCCACATCTCAGATGTGATATTGTACTGAGCATAAAATGGAAGTACTCGAGTAAAGGAGAAGTACCTCAAAACTGTCCGAGCTCTGTACTTTCCACCACTGCTTGCAGCACAGTCTTAACTTTGAGTACGAGGAATTTGTTTTTTCTGCTTTTAAAATTAGTTTATGAGTTACTAAGTAGTAAACTGTTTGAGGAAACAGTTTAACATTTATTAACTCCAATAATCTGAGCATGAAAATGATTTGAGAATGAGTAACTAATTTATTGTTAAAAGTAAATTAAGTTAATTGTACTTAAAACTATTAAGTAAGTTGCAATCATATGCAGCATTTCTCCAAACTTATTTAAAATGTGTTCACAGAATTTATAAAGAATAAAGTAACTTAAATGCATCTTCTTTATAAAAATGTTTTCTTCTTACATTTTTTATAATGATATAAAGTCGACTTAAAGAAAATCATTGGAACAAACTGGAAGAAATGAGTGACTCAAATCTTTTGGAGGGGTTAAATGATGTAATCTCTTATTAATATGTGCTGTAAGGATTGTGTAACACGGACATACAGAGCGACTTCCTTTTCCTGTTTTCGGTCTGGAATTACTGTCGTGTCATTCCTGTGACATCACTCTGACATCACCGTGATCCCCGGCTCCTGCACCAATCGCACAGTGGGATTTCCCCTCACCCTCGTGAGGTAGTAAAACGATGCAGGGAAACACTCACAGGATGGATCAGTGGTTACAACTCTGGTTTGAGAGTAATGAGTCAGAGCCCCCGAACCCCGGACTCGTCTACATCCACCTCCTCGTTAACCACCAATTAATTAATAAATAAATAAATTAATTAATTAATTAATTCACTTCTGATTGATCAGCAGTTTTCAGTCTGGCTGCAAACTTTAGATTTATCTTCCTATGTGTCTGTGTGATTAAAATCTTTGGAATCTGATCTGATACAAAATCTATTTTATTAACAATTAAATGAGTTGAATGTTGAATTAAATGGTTGTTTTGTCATTTTTTAAAATAAAATCTCAATGTGTTTTCCAGATAAACTAATAGAAAAGAGAAGTTTTATACATTTTAACTCATTTTGCAATATTTAGTTAACCTGGTATAATCCAGTTTTCCCCTTTTAAAGCTCCAGTGTGAAACATTGAAGATGATCTATTGTCATAAACATATAATATTTATAGGTATGTTTTCATTAGTGTTTAATTACC